TTGACATTTTTACAATTTTAATTGTTCCCATCTGTAAACATGATATGTATCTCTCTGTTCACTTAGATCATTAATTCCTCTCAAAAGTGTTTTATAAGTTTTGTGTGTAGCGATCTTGCACATCTTTAGTTTAGATTATTACTAGAATTTGAATATTTTTAATACAATTATGAATGTTATTTAAAGATTTTTGTATTCTATTTGTTGCTTGTTAAGTAAAAGTACAGTTGATTTTGGTATTTTTCACCTTATGTCTAGCAACCTTGCTGAACTCACTCTAATAATTTTTCTGTGGATTCTTTTGGATTTCCTACTTCTATAGTCATATTGTTCATGAATAACAATAGTTTAATTTGTTCTTTTATAGTCCTTATGCCTTTTATTTCTTTTTCTTATGTTTAGTGTTGAAAGGAAGGGGGGATAGGGATCATTCTTGGCATGTTCCCAACCTCCAAGGGGAAGCTTTCAACTTTTATCACTAAGTATGATGTTTGTTGTGAAATTTTTGTAGATGCTTTATGAGATTAAGTTTGTTCCCTTCTATTTCTGGTTTTCTAAGAATTGTTATTGTGATTTAATACTGAATTTTATGAAATGCCTTTCCTGCATGTATTGAGGTATTCATGAGACTTTTTAATTTTATTGATATGACATATTACACCAAAGGAATTTAGAAAGTTAAACCATCATTATACTACTGCAATCAATCCAACTTAGTCATGAGGTAATATCCTTCTTATATATTTCGTGATTCAGTTTATAATATATTGTTTAGAATTTTTGTACCTATGTTATGAGTAAAATTGTCCAATAATAGTCCTTTTAATATCCTTGTTATGTTTTGATACCAAGGTTATGCTAGCCTCTGAAAATGAGTTGGGGAATAGGCCTTTTTCAAAATTCTGTGGAAGAATTTGTGTGTTATTTCTTCTGCTTGTTTGCTAATGAAGTCATCTAGGCCTAGGGTTTTCTCTCTCAAAAGGTTTCATTTATAGAGTCAATTTATGAGATTATTCACATTTTTTGTTTCTTCTTTGACACTATTAATTACTTGGATTTTTGTAGAAATTTCTCCACTTTGCATAAAAATTCAGATTTATTGACATAAAGTTGTTCATAGTGGCCTCTTCTCCTTTTCATGTTTATAAGATTTGTGGTGATGTTCTGTTTTTCATTCCTGCCTTTGGTTATTTGTGAATTCTCTTTTTATCTTCATCAATTTGCCAGGGTTTTAAATCTTTTATTAGTCTTTTCAAAGAGCTACATTTTGTCTTTGGTCCTCTTTTTTGTGTGTGTGTGTGAGGGAGAATGGCCCTGAGCTAACATCTGTTGCCACTCTTCCTCTTTATGCTTGAGGAAGACTGTTGCTGAGCTAACATCTGTGCTAATCTTCCTCTATTTTATGTGGGATGCCACCATAGCGTGGCCCAATGAGTGTTGCCAGGTCCCTGCCTGGGATCCGCACCCACAAATGCTGAGCTGCTGAAGTGGAGCGCACGAACCCAACCACTACACCACCAGGCCAGCCTCGGTCCTCTATTTTTAAAGTTTATTTACTCTTGTCTTTATTTCTTTTTCTCTCCTTGGGTTTGTTTTGTTGTTCTTTACCTTCCTGAAATAGTTGAAATAGAGATAACTCTTTAATTTTTAACCTGTTTTTTCCCCTAATATGTACATATAAGGCTATTACTTTAAGGTAGGCAGAGTTAAACTGTATCCCACAGATTTTGATATTGTTGTTTAATTCAAAGTATTTTCTAATTTCTGTTGTGATTTTTCCTTTGCCCATGGGTGTTTTAGAATCTATTTCTTAATTGCTGAATATACAGGGATTTTTAGTTTTCTCTTTGTTATTGCCCTATCAGAAAACTTACTTTAAATTACTTTACCAGTCAGATAAATTATTTCAGCCCTTTAAAATTTATTGTCTTGCTGTATGTGCTTTACAAGAACGAGTGTTCTGTAGTTGTTAAATACTGAAATCTATATATGTCTATTATATCACTTGTTTATTAAGTTCAGTTTGATAGCTTTACTAATTTGTGTGTACACACTTGTTTGCTGATTATAGCTTTGTGTATTTCTTTGAGTATTTCTGTCAATATTTTACTTTAAGTCTTCGGAAGCCATTTCTTAGATACTTACAAATTTGGAAATGTTATATCTTCTTCATAATTTGAGCTTTTATCATTGTCTAATATCTCTGTTTATCAAAGGTCACACTTTTTACCTTAAAGTTTACTTTGTCTAGAATTAATATAGCTATACCAGTTTTCTTTTGGTTAGACATGGTATGTCTTAATCTATTTACATTTAATGTAATCGCTGTGTAGTTCTGTTTTTTTAATTTAAATCTGTTTTATTATGTGCTTTTTATTTTTCCTACCTGAAATATGTTCCTTTTCTTTTGTTTCTTGCCCTTTTTTTTGTTCTTTTTGCCTTTTTCTTTTGACTACTTTTTATTACTCCATTTTTTCTTTTGTTAGTTTACAAGTTTTACACTCTTTTTCTTTTAGTAGTTAACTTACAGATTACAACATAAATCTAAGACCTATCAAACTGTTAATTAGTACTTTTATCTTTTCACCAGATAATGCAAGGATTTTAATATGCTTTAGTTGTTATATGATATAGTTGCTATTGTTGTTGTGTTTTTAACCACCTGTATATTTTCAATCCAACATGTTGTTCTTATGTTTTACGCAGTCAATATTCATTTAGACTTAATCACGTATTTACCATTTTCATTGGCATTCACTTCTTCCTCCCTGACTTTTCTTCTTGGGTCATTTTCTATCTGCCCTTTAGTATTTCTTTAGAGTAGGTCTACTGGTGACAGATTTCTCTGTCTTGGTCTGTCTGAAAATGTGTTTATTTCAACTTCATTCTTGAAGGTAGTTTTTGCTATGTATAGAATTCTAGGTTGGCAGTTACTTTTTCCTTTCATCACTTTGAAAATACCATCTGTTGTTTCCTGCCTTTCATTGTTTCTGTTGAAAAGTAAACTTTGAATCTAGTAGTTGCTTCTTTGTTGCAGGTACATTTTTTTTCTGACTGCTTTTAAGATTTTCTCTTGCCTTTAATTTTTAGCAGTGTGTCTAGGTATGAACTTCTTTTTATTTGTTTTTCTTAGAGGTTGAAGGCTTTCTTTAGTCATTAGGTTAATATCTTTAATTGGTTTTGAAAAATACTCTACCATTATCTCTTCAATATATCTTCTACAGGGTCTCTCTCCTCTCCTGGTATTCTTTTACACATGGTAGATCTTTTTGTTATGTCTTTGTCTTTCACGTTCTTTTCTGAATTTTTTCCAAAAAAGTTTTTATTTTGTTTTGTTTTTTCTTCTTGATTTTTTATATTTTCTTCTGATGTAACTTTGGTCCACTAATTCAACTATGTCTTTCTGTCTCCTTCAGCATGATTAATTTAAGTCTGATAGCCACAATATCTGGAGGCATTGAGGGTTTCTGTTTTCTGTTGTTTTTACTGATTTTCATTTACATTGTTTGGTCTCCTTTTGTGCCTGGTTAGCTTTGATTGTGTGTCATACATAGTATTTGAAAAATTATTTGTAAAAATAATTTGAGGCCTGAGATGATATTACTTTCCTCCAAAGACTGTTTTCATTTTTTTCTGCCAGGTCCTAGGACACTAGCAATCTGGGATTACTTTAATCCACTTTTAGGGATTATAATTTTCTGGGCCATTCAAATGACTTAAAGATAGGCTGCAGTGTCTACAAGGACTATTATAATTTCAGTTTACCGTTATATCTAAGATGCAAACCTTGGGGACCCCAACATCAGGCATGGAGATTTTGCCAGGCAGTAGCCCACACCCTTGTGTGGGTCTGGGCTCCAACTTTTATTCTCTGCCCCAGGGATTGGCAAACTTGTTCTGTAATGGACCAGAGAGTAAATCTTTTAAGCTTTGTGGACCATACAGTCTCTATTGCAACAATTAATGGTGCCATTGTTCTCCAGAAGAGCCATAAACAATGTGTGAATTAATGAGCATGAATGTTATTTCAGTAAAACTTTATTTACAAAATCAGGCACAAAGCCAGATTTGGCTCACTGGCCATAGTTTGCTGGCCCCTGCTATAGTCTGTCAAAAGCTTTGCTCAGACTCTCAGCCACCTCTTCTTAAATTTAGATTAGCCCTAAATGCTAGGCTAGCCTCTCCTTAGTCTACCTTGTTAGCTCTCCAGTGCCTTCAAGAATATGTTGGGTGATTTATGTTTGGTCCAGTTGTTCTCAGCAGGAAGTTTTATCTGAAATCCCTAGTCTGCCATTATCACAAGCTAGAGTCATATATAAGGTAACCAATTTAAAAGCAATGAGATTTTTCTCCCCATCTGATCTCAAGAAAGAAGCTTCTTGAGTTATTCTCAGAGAATCTCTCTCACTAGCACCATGCAGTATATAAATGACATTTTTATTTTTAGTAAAACTGAGTTTCAGGACATGTTTCTATAGTTTTCCTAGAGAGATTGTGCATTCCAAGGTTAAAGTTATAGAGCAGTGTTGTCCATCAGAACTTTCTGCAGTGATGGAAATGTTCTATATCTGTACTGTTCAATATGGTAGCCGCTAACCACCTGTGGTTATTGAGCACCAGAAGTATAGCTAGTGTGAATGCAGAACTAAATTTTTACTTCTGTTTAATTTCAATTAATTTAAATTAAAATAGCCATGTACAGATATTTAGTTTGGCATGGATGCAGCTTTGATTAAAAGAAGAATCTCATCTCAGTACAAAATGTGTTCTTACGCTCCTACCCACCAAAGTATCCATTTTCCAGTGCTCTTACAAGATATACTCAACCTAAATGTGTTTGATGGATGGTATGTCAATAAATATCTTAGGCCTCACAGAATGTTTCCATTTATTCCTACCATTCACCTGTTGTGATGGAAGTACACTTGTTATTCTAAATGGGCCATGTAAAACCAATACAGTCACTCAATTTACTGTCTAATGTGTATTTTTCTTTGCAGGGAAAGGGGCGTCTTCATCGAGGAAACTATCCAAGTCCATCCTCTCCTGTTGTAGTCCGATTGCCCTCCATGTCTGATGTCCCAGAAGAGACCTTGACTAGTGAGGCAGTCTTGGAGACTGACATCACAGAGCAGCAGCAAGCGGCTATGCAGCAGGAAGAGAGAGTACTGACTGAGCAGATTGAGAACCTACAGAAAGAGAAGTGAGTTTCCGGGAAGAAAGGGAGCACTTGGTTATTATCTGCTTTCACTTCCTCCCTTCTAGCCTTTCTTTATTTTTCCTTATTTATTAAATATCTCCTATATGTCAAGCACTATCCGATGATACAGGGGATGTAAAGATGACAGAAGACACATTGCCTATACTCAGGTAACAGTGTGAAAGTTGTCATCTCAGGGAAGGAAGCTCCACGAGCAGGAAGACTTAAAGCTGCTACAGTGACGGTTCTGGGGAGGCTGACTGGGACGGGTGTGTCAGTCTTAGTCAAGATGCCTAACAGCTCAGAGACCAGCCTCAATGAACACATGTGTCTTAAAAATGGGAATAAGCGGGGCTGTCACCATGGTCTAGTGGTTAAGTTTGGCACACTCCCCTTCAGCAGCCTGGGTTCAGTTCCCGGGCACGGACCTACACCACTCGTTGGTGGCTGTGCTGTGGCACCGACCCACATACAAAATAGAGGAAGATTGGCACAGATGTTAGCTCAGGGCAAATTGTCCTCAAGCGAAAAGAGGAAGATTAACAACAGATGTTAGCTCAAGGTGAATCTTCCTCAGCAAAAAAAAAAAAAAAAAAAAAAGGCAGGGGGGTAATAAGGATTCCCAGGCTAAGACAAAGTCCCTTTTAAGAAGAGGCATTATTCAAAACTCCATGAAGGAAAGTTATTGTCTGATGATCAGTATAGCCGTGGGGCCAGCAACTAGATGGTCAGGGTAAGACAACTCTAGAGGATGTTAGGATACTGGGTAGGGAAATTGGTTGCAATTTAGGAGAGAAACAAATAAGCAGCTCTGTGATGTCCACCATCACTGGAGCAGGGGTGGGTTACAACTACATCTTGGGATACTGTGAATATCCCATGGGTTCTCCTTAAAGGTACTTTTTACTAGTTCTAGTTGACAATGATGACTCTTAAATTTTAAGGGGATTTTTGTTCCTGAGTTCCAGGATCCCAGGTCTGAGAGCTTGATGCATGAGGGAATATGAATCTTAAAGTACTTTTTGCCTGTCAGGATTGATTCTAGAACTTAGGCAAGCTAAAAAAGCATCTGGGGCTCAGCTGTGCAAAACATGGTAAGGCAAAAGTGGTGTACATTGACCAGGGCCTAGCTATTTGATATAAGAATGATCTGAAAAGAGGCCCTGACTCAGCTTTGATGAAGATGGTATTGCAGGTATTGAAGGATGAACAAGAATTTGCTAGGAGGGGGAAAGTCTTTCCAAAGAAAGGAAGAAGTATGTGTATAGTCTCAGAGGTGTGAATGCACATGGCTTATGACAATTGTAATTGCAGCAATGAGTTGCTGGTGAGACTATCCTTGAAAAGATTGTCCATGAATCTCAGGCTAAGTATTGGAGGTATTGAAGGATGACTAGTTCAAGTTAGGTAGAGTGGAAGTGAAGCTAAGATGGCTCTGAAAGGGAGGAGACTTGATGAAAAAGGGAGTAAGAATTGGAAGGATAAGGAGGTTGTGGACAGAGTGGAGTTTTGGGTTCACAGCTAGTATATTTTCAGGTGATGACAAACTCTAGGATCTGCCCATTGGAGGAAGTTGCCTGGATAAGGTGGAAGAAAGGTTATTAGAAGTTGCAGACATAAAGGAAGTTTGGTGTTAGGGTACTGACGTCAGATTTTACAAAGATACTGATTTAAATAGATTGGGGTGATGTCCGGCAATAGTGAGAAAGCAAGATTAGGAGCAAGGACCAAAGACTTCAGGGAATGTGGGAGGAGGCATGACTGAGAGGTAGTTGGGTGATTGATAAGAGGAGTAGAGAATACTATCCGTGGAGATGGCATAAGCTTCAAAGGACAGAAAAGATCAAGCAATGTTTTACTTCATCTAGAGGTCTCTCTGTGATCAAGGTAGAATGTATAGTCTGTAGCCAGTTGGTAAAGTTTCATGGAAAATAGTTAAGAGCTGGAGGGAATCTTAGAGATTATCTAGTTTAATCTCTTTGTTTTGTGGCTTAAGAAGCTGAGGTCCAGAGAGAGGAAAGTAATTTCCTGATGCATTATGAATGAGTTTAGAGTTTAGAACCCTGATCTCCTGATTATCAGCCCAGAGTTCATTTTACCAAAAGATCCTACGGCTGCAGCATCTTTACCCACCTCACCCTTAGCCCTGTTGTGGGTCCTAGGCTTTGCTGTCTTTAACCTTCACCATTGCTGTGGCTTACAGGTCCTTATCACCACCCTGGTGAGAAGAGTAAGAAATATGACTGTTTTTGCTTCTTAAATTTCTGACTTTCATGGGAGGTCTGTTTTCTTGTAGTCTTCCTTCCACTTCTTATCAAATGCTAATGGATTTCTTGGTTGTATCTTACAGAGAGGAGCTAACATTTGAAATGCTTGTACTGGAACCACGTGCCTCTGATGATGAAACCCTTGAGTCTGAGGCCTCTATTGGAACTGCCGATAGCTCAGAAAATTTGAATATTGAGTCTGAAGGTGCCATTTCTGAAAAATCAGGTAAATGAAAATGTTTGACCAAAGACTCCAGATTTGTTTTGCAAAAGAGGAATAAGGACTCCCAAGCTAAGACAAAGTCCGTTTCAAGAATGCCTTGACCTTACACGAAAAGGTGACAAAGTCCTAAGGAGTTGAAATATACTGATCTTTGTGAAGGTTCCATATAAATTGTTCATCAGACTAAGCCTTCAATGTAGTGTAGTTTTTTGGTATAATTTAATGTTTTCTCTTATATTTACCACAGAGAAAAAGCGAATAATCACAACACACGTTGTCTTACTGACCTATGGTCCATTTTCTAAGGGTGGGGTAACAGGAGTTGTGCCCTGCTGTGAGATGGGACTGTACCAAAGCGGGGGGTATTTAACTACCTGACATGTCTCAGGGAGACATAGAACTAACTATATATATTGGCAGTTTTTTAAATGATAGTGACAGTTATAGGCCTTTCCGAATGGCGTAGTCAATCTCTAGACTTCCTTGGGCTTGATCCTGAAATAATATATGTAAAAATAGATGATGAACTCTTCTCGAGTCGTGACTGTGCACAAAGGTCAGCCTGGACCCTCCAGGTCTTAGCCCACCCAGTTTCATGTGTGAACAGTGAGACCAATTCTTATATGATGATTTCCTTTAGAGAGAACTGTCATTTACAGCTTTGGTCTCTTTTTTGCATTAGAGAGAAGCTTAGCCCTTAGTTCTCTGAAGGCAGCTGGCAAGTCTGAACCTTCAGGCAAGTTGCGAAAACAGCTAAAAAAGCAGCAGGACTCTTTGGATTCAGTGGACTCTTCAGTCTCTTCTTTATGTTCGTCTAACACTGCATCCTCCCATGGGACCAGAAAACGATTTCAAATTTATTCCAAATCTCCATTCTACCGAGCTGCCTCAGCTGGTGAGGCCCCAGGAATGGAAGGGCTGTTGGGCCAGACCAAATCCCTGGAAGACAGGCCTCAATTCATCAGCAGAGGAACCTTCAACCCTGAAAAGGGCAAACAAAAATTAAAGAATGTGAAAAACTCACCTCAGAAAACCAAAGAGACCTCAGAGGGGACAGTCGTGTCTGGCCACAGGAGAACTGTGGACCCAGACTGCAGTTCCACCCAACAGCTAGCTCTCTTTGGAAATAATGAGTTTATGGTCTGAACTAGCAGGTGTGTGTCCCTGCATGGCTACAGAGTGGTAAACACATCTCGTCTTTGGGGCGTCTTCTCATCACCTCATCGCAGTAGTCCATCCTAATTGTGGTCCTGCCTCTTACCCAAGCATACAACCAAGACCATGTGTGCTGAATTCCTGGGCCTCCTGCAGAAGTGGACAGGCCTCTTTGAAGCCTGCTTGGGATGGCACCAGCTGTGCCTTGGCTGCTGTATTTGACTAGAGATTTCACTAAACAAAGCCACCTAGGACCTGGGGATCTGGGTCAGTTGTGGAGGTCTTTGTAGTCGCCTCTCCTCCATCCTCTTTTCCCTTCTTAGAGGTGGATGTTGAACTAGGGGGGACATTGTGGGCCTGCAGGACCCACTGATTTCTGGCATTTGAAGAAAACATGTAAATCTTTCTTAACCATGAAAGCAAAAGCCTTTGGGTTTATTTGGGGATAGTTAGGAACTGAGGTAGAATATAATTTTTTCCGAGGATTTATAAACAAAAAGCCTAAGCCCTCTATTTTAAGATTTTTGAAAAACACTCCGTATTATATTCTGGGGAAAGTAAAAAAGCAGTTGTTTCCCTTAAGCCATCAGAGCATGTCTCAGACATCTGGTTACTCAATGAAGAAGAGAGTACATATTTTGTTTTTTGATGATGTTTAATGTCATAATAATCAATGCTGGTTTAACTCCTGGTTAGTTCCTGCCAAATATATTGCATAGGCTGAAGTTTCAGTAGCCATTCTCTTCTCTTTTTCCCTGGTCCTAGGACCAGGTTCCTCTAAATTTTTTTAAATGTCCCAGAGACATGGTGATCCCTAAACATGAGGGTTTCATCCTAATCCATCCAGGCCTTTCTCTTGGTATAAATTAAACTGAAGATCACATATGAACCTGTTTATCTGCTGGTGGATTTTCACCATGAACTCAAACAAATAATGTGACCATTTAATCACTTCTCCCAAAACATTCACATACAACATTGCATAAGTGTTACAGAAACCTGCCAAAAAATAAAAAGAGAAAAGTTTTTAGTATGACGCATCTAACTTTTATCTTCTCCTCAGACTATCAGTATTAAATAGATGAAAAAAAAATCGAGGACTACTTGAAGCTATTTTTGTTAATATTCTGGTTCCTGAAGTTTACTGTAAATATTTATGTATAGTAGGCATATTTCTTTTTAACCTTATGCTTCCCTCCTCCCCATGGAATCTTTTCCCACAGATTAGGAGCTATTGGACAGGGTGGGTGAGAGCCACTCATTCCCTGATTTGGAGGAAAAGTCAGACCACCTTTTTCACCACTGGGTGTCTCCATACCCCTGAGTTAGAATAGCATTTTAAGCTTCTTAGCATTTGTGGGATTAGAAACCTGTTTTTGCTATTTATAATATATGGAAAATGAAACATGATACCCTTTATTGAGATAAGTATGTGAAGATGTTTATTTTTAATGTTACTAAATGCATCTTGTCTAACTACCACATGCACTGTTCTAAAAAAGAGCCTTTACCATCTGTAACCTGAATTTTGGTTATTCTTCCTTTTCATACTTATTTGATTTAAAGTTATGGAAATATTAAGACTTTTGTTAAGGCAGAATCTCTCCTGTTACACAACACTGAACCTCATGCCACTGCCTCAGTGGTTATTGTCGAGCCCCAGAGGTCAGACTTGGAACATCATTCTGAGTGGCAGCTAAACGTAGCAGGAGTCTTACCTCTCCCTGGTTTGGGTTCAGAAATGAGTTAGGGAAAGGAATCTTTTTAAATCTCCAGAATGATGATGGTTAGTGAGTAAATGTTAGATTTTATATCCTGCAAACATCTGCCACCTTGTTCATGCTGTGCTCAGGAGTAATAAATGTAAAGCCTTTAAAAATCTGAATTTCAGAGACTCTCCTAGAGGAAAGTCCAGCCGCTCAGCTTGGTTGTGTCAAAGTGGGATTGCTGGTGCTGCAGGGCCCCATGCTAGGCTGCACAGTCTGTTTCAGTATTCTTGGGAGAGTAGTCTTCTGCTAGGCGTTGACTACTACTCTCCACTTGCTCCAGAACATTGGTTAAATACTATACAAAAAAAGAAATTACCCTTGTTGAATAATTTTCTTTGGCTCAGAGGAATGGCGGAGAATACATCTTGACATATGTTCTCTCTTCTAAATCGTTGTTTGCTTTTTTGCAAATTAAGTTTTTGGCAGTCATGTAGGTCACCTTATAGGAAGTAGGTGATGGATGTTAAGAGACTTTAATTTTTCTCAGGGATCTGAAACCTGAATTTGGATAAAATTAAATAAAAAGTATTTGTTTTTCAGTTGCTAGATTTGTGGATTTCTGGTCATTTAACAAGCTGCCAGAATGGAAGGTGGTGGGGAGGAGAGATCCACTCAATTTTAAGAATGGAGAGCAAGTGTGGGACCCTCCCTTTGAAGGAAAGAAAGCTGCTGTTCTCATAGGATAACAGTCATTGTTGGCCTGATAAAGATATGAAGCCATAACTCTTAAAAACTGTCAGAACCAAGTGCTGTATCTCCTTCCACCTGAGCTTAACTGGTCCTCTCTGTGGTTAAAGTTATGTCACCACAAAGTAATGCTGTATTACAATCACTTATGATTAAGATATTTAACCTTAATATGTGTCAAGTTTGTGTTTCTTGTTGCTTCTCCTTTGCTTGTTTTCTTTGATCTCAAATGCCTCCAAGGAAATCCCTGCATGGCAGCGCTGGGACAGCCCCACGTGTGGTGCCTGTACTCCAAAATGCAGAACATTCTGTTCATATCACACATTCCTTGCCCCAAACAAAGCCTGGATTTTCACTTCCCCCCATTAAAGCCAAGGTGTCCCTTATCATGGAAAATTTAATGGAAGCAGAGAAGTGTAATTTTAGGTTCACACTGTATATCACAAAGTGAAACAGACTGCTTTAACAGCATAGGGAGGTGACATGCTTAGTTCATAATGCACTTTGTACTTCCTACCATTTTAATTTTTTTGTCTCTCTCGGCTTCTGAAAACACAAAGGGAGATACAGCCTTCCCTATGAGCCTTGCAAACACAGAGGGGCATGAGATCAGGAGATGGGATCCCAGAGCCCCCACCTTCTCATGCTTTGGAAACCAGCTATAGTTCTTACCCTGCTGGGAGGTTAGTGGAGATTTGTGTGTCCCATCACAATAGGGTTGTTTTCACTGTCAAAGACAGAGTCCCAGAAGCGTGCTGAAAAGGAAGTCCAGCAAGGTTCTGCAGGCCCACTTCAGTAACTGGGGGCCATGGTTTTTTGACTGTAACTAAGGAATGTGTACCTTACAGAGCACTTTGGTGAACTAGAGAGAAGAAAGTATTCTCAGGATGTGTTCAAAGCTAAGTGAGTTTTAATTTTGAAAAGAAACACAGTCCAGACGACCTTTCCTTTTCCTTCTCTCTCTCCTCTTTTTTTTCCTTTGGTGCAGAAGTGGACATGGGGCGTGCATCATTCTGTGTTGACAAATGTGTATGTCTACCCATATTTTTGTGACAACTCCTCAGCACTGTCCCCCAGTACTAGTCTTCCTAGTCTTCCTAGTAAAATTCCTTGGTACTTGTGGGAATCTTCTTTCTATGCCTCTAAAATACTTTTAACCACTTTTCTTTGGAACCACTTCCACATTTGATTTGGTGTTAAAGTGTAACAGCAAGATGATGATTGTGGACATGGATCTATTAGGTCTTGTTGGTCTCTTGGTTTAAATTGTTTTCAAAAAGCCTGCCAAGGGGCCTATCACCTTGCTGTCCATCCATACTTTATACCTATTTATCAGCCCTCTTAGGTCATATAAGAGTTGCACCTTTTGAACCAACTAATTGTATTTACTGGGGGAAAGGTGTGGACTACAGATTAGTATTATATTATTTTAATGGATTTAAAGTAATTTATAAGTATGCCAAGTGTAAATTTTTAAAAGACTATGTATTGTAAAAGGACATATCCTATGAAATATAAATATCATTTTACTGTTTAACAGAATAATTCTATAAGAAGGATGATTTATCTCACCCATAGAACTGATTACATTCCTGATGCAATCAGCAGGCACTTTGTAATTTCCTTTTGGGTCTTTTTTTTGGAGGGGGAGAGCAAAACATCATCTGTATAAAGTGCAGTTTGTATCACTCAAAATATGCACTGTGCAGCTACACAAAAGCAGCTTGATGAACAAATCACTCCATGGCTCATTAAAGAACAAAGCTTCCAGAAGCAGCAATACGTGTGGTTTATTTTCTGACCATTCTGGCTCCCACCCCAACTCGCTCCAACCCAGCCCCAAGGAACAGCAGTGAGTTTTGTTAGTTAAACTGATTTTTTTTTTTTAAGGAAATCACCGAGCTCAAAATTAACAAAGTGCAGAAGTGATAGTTATTGGAACTCAACTCAAGTGAAGGTGAGATTCAAGCTGTTAGTTTTCTGTAAGGGATGCTAACTGCTAGCTGTCAAGGCTTCATTTAATCAGTTTAGAGCTAGGTAGGAAGGGAAGGCAATAAATCTACATTTAGGGTCCTCACCAAAGAGGCCATGAACAAGTGGCAGTGTCTGCTGCTAGAGAGCCAAAGAATTCAAACCTTGATTTTCGTCTTTGTTCTGCCACTATACTGCAGGACTGGGAGTCATTTGTCCTCTTTGGGTGTTAATTTTTCCTATCTGAAATGAATTCTCTTCCCCAGGTTCTTCTCCAGATAACTTATACTAACTCTCAGGTCTCAGTGTAAAAGATAGTTGTACTTGGAAATTTCCTCTTCCTCCTTGAACTGGATTAGATGTCTTATGTTCTCAACAGCTCCCGGTATTTGTGGCATCAAAAAACTGATGTAAGCTTCCCAAGGCAAGAAATGTGCCTATCTTGCTGCCTCTTAGATCTCTAGTACCTAAAACAAGGTGCCCACACTTAGATATTTGATGAGAGGGGTGAATGAGATTGGGGTTCCCAAATGCCAAACCAGGTCTAAGGTGAAATGGAAAAAAATTAATGTAATGAATTTTTCCCTAATGCCAAATTTATTCAATTTTTTAAAATTCTGAGATCATCATTCCCATTTCTTTTTACATTAATTTTATATTTACATTTTTGCATTAAATTCACATTACATAAAAACAATAAAGATAGTGAATTTCTTAAAATTTTAATTGGCAGAAAAAACCACTAGAAATGCCATTTTTAAAACTTGCCCCTGGGATTACTGAATCTACAACAAACCTTTCCAATTATGAAGCCAAGAACAGAAAGGTGTAAGGAGATGCATGTTATAAAGAGACCAGTGCTTTTATATTTTAAAAATTCTTCTTTGTTCTAGAATGGGTAGCAGTACAGGGTCTTAGAGCCAGAGACATAACCATTTTAGTAGATAAGACACATATAATATCTGACTGTTGAATCTTGTAGGCATCTTGGACTCCTAGTCAAGGAGTGTGTCACTTCCTGGTTCTGTGTGGCCATCTATCCATTCATTCAATAAATATTTACTGAGCACCCACAGACACCGTCCTAGGTGCTTGGGGTACATGAGTGAACAGAACAAATCTCCCTGCCCCTGTGGAGCTGGCATTCTAGTGGGGCAACCCAATGATGGCCACCAGCTGGAGACCAGTCATCCACAATATCTGGGGTCCACTATCAGGTTATATTTATTCATTTGAATGGGTGCTTCTTGGCCTCTTTGAGTCTTTTCCTGCCCTTCCTACCTTTAAATACTCCCTTGAGGGTGAAAGAAGATAAGTGTCTCAGGAATCTGAAAACTGCAATTGAGAATGCCCACATAGGCCCACAGCGACTACCTCTGTGCTTCACAACCAAAGACATTTCTGGCATTAAGGGCAAAAAAGAGCTTTCATAATATCCTCTCTCCTAGCAAGGGCCCTACCTGCAATGAAACAGAGCTGTTACCCATCTTAATTTCAGTGGGGCCAATTTACGCAAAGGTTGAATAAATCCTGGGGTCAATGAGAGCTGTATTGTATTAGGAAAATAGAAGCCATTCAGTATATTTCAGGTAAGAAGGACTTAGTATAAGAATTAAGGGCTTAACCGTTGGAAGAACTGGGGAAACAAAGGTCAGAGAAGTTCCCACAGGAGGTCGAGAACGCCAACACAGATCTCAGCCAAAAGTTCCAGAGTTCTCAAGAGCTTGCCTGGAAGCTACTGCAATTCTAAAGAACATCGATGTGAAATCTCCATCTTCCCACTCATCTGGCTGCAACTGCCTACAGAGAATAATGTCTTCTCATTTACCTTCCAAATCTCATGTGAGTGCCTTTCTTCCATTAGCAAACCATAGGGGAAGGGGATCCTGGGAAATGTACTTCCTGGCATCTCTGCAATAAAGACAAGACCTTAGAAGACGAGATGGTATTGATGCAGGGTCGACAGCAGATAATCCAATTTATGTACCTCCTCTAATTCTCCAAGACTTCCTCTGGAGATCCCAAACTGTCTCTTTCCCAATGTAGAATTGCTATGCTCACGCACCCCAGACACCAGACTGTGTGCCTTTGCTGTCTTATGTTCTGTAGGATAAATATGCAGGACCTATCGTTATATTTCAACCATGTTTCTTGCTAAAGTGCTTTTGCTCAGGCTTTCTATATATAGGCCTTTAAACCTTATGGATAAAACTTTTGATAGGGAATTGGATAGTATAATGGACATTGAATGACTCAAATAACTGAGGCAAGCTTTTAAAAGATCAAGAGTCTCAAGTAGTTCCAATGCTTAAATGGGAGGGGCTTAAGCTGGGCAGTATTTGCCATACGCTTTCCTCTCTGGGTACCAGTTTAGCTATTGTCATTTCCAGAGCAGAGTGTCCTGAACCATCCTTCCTCCACCAAGGCAGGATGTCTGTCAGCTAGGAGAATTCATACACAGGCCAAAGAGGAGGGAACGCCTAGGATTTCACAGATTTCTCACATGATCTTTTCTTGCTTGACTTCAAGCATCTCTTCTTTGAAGACAGAAAATGCAACGGTGGGCCGGCCCAGTGGCACAGTGGTTAAGTTCGCACGTTCCACCTCTCAGTGGCCCAGAGTTCGCCGGTTCAAATCCCAGGTGTGGATGTGGCACTGCTTGGCACACCATGCTGTGGTAGGCATCCCACATATAAAGTAGAGGAAGATGGGCACGGATGTCAGCTCAGGGCCAGGCTTCCTCAGCAAAAAAAGAAGAGGACTGGCAGTAGTTAGCTCAGGGCTAACGTTCCTCAAAAAGAAAAAAAATGCAACAGAATTGTTTAGCTGATTCCAGAGGTGGAGGGGGCATGGGGTAGAGGCAGTGCCAGAGTTAAGTAGAGTCGCAACAAGGTTTGAGTCTTAGACAAGCCTCAGTTTTTTCATTTATAAATGGAGATGATTTGTCCCTCCCCCAGAGTTAATCAGGATTAAATAACAATGCGCATTCAGCACTCACTTCACTGCCTGGTATATAAGGTGCCTGATATATGTTAACTTTTTTGATTATTATTATATTCTAGGTCTTCTGGGTCTATCTTTGAAAAGGATGAGATTTCTGAGCTTCATCTTTCCGTAAGGAATTAAGAAGTGATGGAGATTCCCCTTCTCAAAAAGTGCCTGTAACTGCCCTGTGTTGAGTTGGCTGGTGCCCACGTTTGCTTATGGAGGGGTGAGGAAGGATAAGGAAGAGGAAAATTGAGAGAAGCTGTGGGATGGTGGGAGGTCATCTAGAGAGAAGCTGGGTTGTTGAATCCTGTGGGAGAGTTTTCACTGGGCTTGAATTCATTGCACATGAACTCTGACTCAGAGAGAAGCTGGATGGAACGTAAGACCCTGTGTTCATTCCTTTAATGTCCTCAGAGAGAGATCCTTGGCCACATTTGTTTTCCTGTTTGTGTTTTTTCACTTTTTCATTGAAGTCTAACAATACAGTAAAGTGCACAAATCTTAAATACACAGCTCAATTAATTTTTATGAATGTGTAAGTTTATGAAACCACCGTCTAGATCAAAATAAAGAATATTTCTAGCACACCAGAAGGCTCCTTTGGGCCTCTTCCCAATCACCCCACCTCCTACCCCAGAGGTAACTACTATTCCAACTTTGTCTTGCCTGTTCTTGAACTTTGTGTAAGCAGAACTTGTGTCTGGCTTCTTTTATTCAACTTTTATGTCTGTGAAATTTATCCATGTTGTCCCATGTATTAGTAGTTGATTCTTTTTCACTGCTGTTTTCCATTATATGACTACCACAATTAATCCATTCTACTGTCAATGTGCAGTTTGGGGCTATTATGAATAAAGCTGCTATGAATATTCTTATGATATCTTTTGATGTGCATTTCTGCTAGGTACGCATACCTACAAGTGAAATTGCTGGGTCACAGGGCGGGCAAACATTTAGCTTCAGGAGATTGTTTTCCAAAGTGGGTGTACCCATTTTCCTTCCACCTTCATTAGGTTTTGAACATATCACAAAGGAGCTTCTCCATGGGAGTGTTCCCTATGGTCTTGCGGAAAAAGAGGAGTTCAACACGTTCGGAAGTGATAAACCTCAAAGACGAGAGGAGAAGGAGCAATTTCCCAAACCTGAACAGGAGAGAGGACTCCATCAGTTTTATTATCAGCATCGAAGCATGAGCCCTGGGGGCAGTGTCGTCCCAAGAAAGGCAAAGGGGGGAGGATAGGAGAGATGAGAGGTACCCATGGCAAGTAAGGAGGAATTTCGAGGAAAGGCCCCATTCACTACCAGAGTTGCCACCACCCACCCCTGACTCCTTGTCGCCCACTCCAGTTTGTTTAGTTGAGGAGCACAGTGAAACGGGTGAATAAATATTATGCGTAAAGATTATAAAGTGAGAAGTTATATTATATATATGAATATATTATTAATCAATATATGATTATTATGATAGTTATATTATTAATACTATACATATTTGAAAAGGAATACAAATTCCCCTCTGTAAGAAACTTATGATACTACAGTAGCTGTTAGTGAAAATGTTGTGAAGTTGAAGCATAGTTTTTGTGGCTGAGATTATCATCCAGGATAAAAATAAATACAGTTTTAAATAAGAACCATTTGCCAAGGCAGGGGTCCCCACTGCAGAGAAGGTGGGTGGTGAAGGCCCAAGGGAGATAGATGGGGGCATGAGAACTTCCTTGGGTAGGAGACCTGACAGCTGGGGTCAATGCTCAACATCAATGAGGCCACTCCAAAGTGGGGCAGCTTCATGCTCAACTTCCAGCATAGAGGAATATGGGAAGCCTCCCCCACTCCCAACTATCTGCTGAACTCGCTCTGCCAACCCAAGGGCTTGCTTTCTCTTGTGAGCGCCATGTGAGTGGCACTGAGCATCGTACGCCGTCCCCTGTGTCTTCCCCTCTTCTGTTTTTCTGATCTAAGCAATGTCTGGAAGAAGTAACTATACAGTCAAGTAGAGAAATTGTTTGTCAAACCACAGGAATTGATCCACTAGTGAGTCTGAAATTCAATATAGTGGGTCACAACCAGGCTTTTTAAAAAAAACTAAAATAGAATTATCAGAGTAAATTATACAAAGTAAGGGCAAGTATTATTTGGTGGAACTTTGCTTTGGTGACTGTGTGTATTGGGTTATGATGGAAATTGTATTCCTTCTTGGTATTGCAGTTTTTAAAAACTGAAATACGCTGACTTGGAGAACCCCAAATCACTCTCTCAACACTCAGTTCTTCCTGTAGTTGGTATTGAACTGCTATAGAAATCTTAATCAGGATTTTGAAATTTGACACAAAACCAATATGCCCAAACATCCCTGGGAGCTGATCCCAACATAAACTTGGCCTAGGAGGGCTACTGGTGTCTGGTGTCCGTGATGACCATTTTTGGGATGCTGTGTCAAGCCTTAGGAACAGTTGTTCTCCCTAAGCTCATAAGGAGCAGAAATCTTTCTGTGAAACATGGTATATTCCTCCTATACTTTGGCTCTTCTTAAAGGGAAATTACCTCTTCTTATGTTCGTTTCTCAGATGAGAGATGATTCGAGGGTGCCCATGATAGCTTACTTCTCAGAGAGAACTGCTGAGAACCCCAAGAGAATTCAGATGGTATGTTCTAAAATAGCCAATAGATGCCTGGAGGCCAAGTGGCCCAATCTCGCTGAGGGTCCACTGTATCTGCTGGTGCTGGGCCAAGCTGAGCAGTCCCAGAGCACTGGCTCCTCTCCCCAGCCTCCCCCCAGCCACACTGTCCCTGTGGCTACTGTCCCCCAAACCCAGCCTGGGCTGGGCTATTGTCCACACACGGCTTATGCAAGTGCATCCCTGTGAGATGTCCCTCTGCCCCTCCAACAGACCTTGTTATGTTCCCTCAAAACTCTCTCTTCCTCCTGACTTTTCTTTTTATTTCTTCACTATCTCTTCTCCCAAATAGCTCCTTTTCCCTTGTTCCTTACATCCACCCAAGTGCCAAATGTGACCCATTTCAACTTCTGGAGGCTTTTGCATCTCTCCTCTCCTTTCCACTCCCTATAGCCACTCCCAGAGAGCAGAACTCCGTGGTCTCCCCTGGATGACAGGAGTATCTGCTTCCCTCCTGGGTTGTATACTCTGTGCTCACTGCCACGCCAGTCTGCATGAAGTCCAGCTCTATGTACAACACCCACCTGCTCAAAAAGCTGCAGTAGCTCTCCTCTTCCCAGCAAATCAGATATGGCCTTTGGCTGTCATTCAAAGTCCTAAACAGCCTGGTCCCAGAGGCCATTCTGTCTTAATCTCCCACCTTCTCACTGGCAGCAATCAGTTGCACCTTGCAAACCGGGCTCCTATCCTAAGAACACATCCAGATTTGCCTGTCTCTCTCTCTCTCCCCCGCTTTGTAAATGATGACTTCTCTTCTTTTAGAGCCTATCCTTCTTTCCAGGTCCAGCCCTGCCTCCACAAAGTCCCTTGCAGTTCTGCTTTACAGCCCCCACTTTACAGCCCCCAATGGGCCTCTGTCTCCTTCGGATACATGCAACCCTCAATATCTGACTAGGGTGGTTCTCATCTTCTGTGTGGTCACTGTGCCGGGCATCCCTGGAAGGCAACAAGTTTGTCTTACACACATTTTTGTCCCTACTCCTGCAGCCTGGCACTGTGCCTGGCACACAGTAGTTGTTGGCTATATGCCAGTTGAACTGAGTCCCTTGTGTCATGTAATCAGTGCAGTCCTGAGATGGTGTCAGAGAGGTGGGCAGGGGTGTGAAGAGGTGAAGGGATAGATGGGCAGGTAGACATGTGCTCAGGTTACCTCACAGGCTGGCTAGGGTGGTGGGCCTTGCTGTGCTGGCTCAGCATCACTTGGGACTGGTCCTGCAAGGCCTCCACGTGCTCAGGATCCTTCAGGCCCCGTGTTTCTGGAGAAAAGCAGCAGCAATGAGCTCCTCTCCCAGCCTGCCTTGCCCCCTCAGATAGCCAGGGCCCTCAGGAGGGGTGAACCCAGCCCTGTACCTCTCTCCTCCTGCCCCCCAGGGAAGACGACTGCAATCCTCTTGTTCTATATGGGGTGATGGAGGGAAAGTGAGAGGCAGAAGGAAGGCCCTGGAATTCCCATTCTTCATCCCCAGCCACTTTTCTCTAAGGCTTGGGCAAAGACTCAGGTACCTGGTTTGAAGAGGACAAGGGCCTTCATGCAGGCAAACTCTGTGGGGTCCACCGCCAATGCCCGGAACCGTGAGATGGTTTCCTGCAGGATACGAGTCTCTGCACTGGCCAGGGCCAGGCGGCCCTGGGAGCTGCCGGCAGCAGAGGCCTCCGGCGGGGCCAGCAGTGGGCAGCTATCCAGAGGCAGAGACCACTGTATGGCTCCAAGGAGGAAGAGTTCACTCCACGCCTCTTCCAGCAGGATCACCTGTGCCCAGAGAGTGGGTGAGTGTGATGACTGATATACAGTTCCTCTGGCTCAGCCTGGCAACTCTGCCCTCTCCTCGGGTACCCTAAGAAAGGAAGAGCTGGTCCTGGATGCCCAGAACATTCTCCTGACCTCTGCTTGACATCAGCTAGGGACCCAGAGCTCTGGGATTTGGCACCATCTGACCCAGCTGTCTAGGCTTCAAGACACTCTATGGGTTCCACCCAGAGCTGCAACTGGAACATTTAGGAAAGCCTAGAGCCCTGAGAAGTTGGGCAGCCTTGGGGACACTCCCCATGAGCATCCTAAGGTGAGTGTACTCAGCAGACTTGGCCTGACTTCTGAGCTGCTCCATCCAAACCACGGCTTAAGGGCTCAGACCCTCAGCCAGGCTCTTTTCCTGGGTTTATCATGACAGGTCTGCTTGCCCATGAGAAACCCAGAGGGGTGTCCTAGAGGTGAAGAGGTTGGACTGAAACTCAAGCCCTGAAGTCAGAGGCATTTGTGCTCCAAGGGAGCCCAGAGTCATCTGCTCATGCTGTTCAGGGTATGCAGCCACCCTGTCAGGTACAGAGCATCTGTAGGACCAGAAGGTTTGTTTAGAAGGAAAGAAGACCCAGGGAGCCATAGGCACTGACTTCAAATCCGTGGTCCCTGTGTGAACCTGGCTATCATCATTCCCAAGGTGCACACCCCGACCATCATCGCTGCCCAGAGATGTGAGCACCCTCAGTAATCACATCCCTGAGAGATGTACCCCTAACCATCACTGACTCAGAGACATGTGCGTCCCCAACCATCACCATCCCCAAGTGGCATGCACCTCCAATCATCACCTGCACAGGGCTGTATGTGCCCCTAATTCGGCTGACTCACATGGGCCACCTGACAGGTGTACCTGATCCCTGAAGGGCAGGTTGGAGAACACAGGCAGGTTCTTGGCCCACTTGACAGCCATGAAGAGGAGGCGAGCTGACGTCTCATGGATGCTGTCCAGGGCACAGGGGGAGGAAGAGGAGTAGGGGGACGAGGGGAACTCAGGGTCATTGCTGGTGACATCAATATTCTCATCAGCTGTTGGAGAAGAAGGTTGTGACTTCAGTCCCTACTCTGCAGCAGGTGGCAGGGAGTGCCCAGGGACTCAGGTGTGGGGATAAAGGCTGGGAGCTGTGGCCCCACCGTGACCTGGAAACTCAGCCGTCTTCCCACTTACCATCCTCTGGCTCCAGCTTAGCACAGGTTTCAGCTGTTATAAGGCTGGCCATGAAGTGGTGGTGCCCAGGAGGTGTGAGGGCCCCAGGCCCCAGGGCTCTGGCTGCAGAAACAGGCATGGGGCCCCGTGGGCTGGGCCCTGCCGGGGCTGGGGAAGCCACCAGAGGCTCCAGCCGGGGCCCGGTGTCTGACTCCATGCCATCCAGGCGGACCTGGGCCATGCTTCGTGGCTGGCGCTCATTCTGCACAGCTGGGGAGGCAGGAAGGGTAAAGAAACACCACCAGTCATGCAACCCCTTCTCTTCTGTCACCCCTCTCCAAGTTGGCTCCCTGACTCACCGTCCTGGTTCATGCCTGCCTGCAAGCACTTCTTCAGCCGGCAGGCCTGGCACTGGTTCCGGTGGGCCTTGTCCACCGGGCACATCCCTGCCCCCACCTGGCACCTGCAGGAGGAGGGGAGCCCCAGGTGTCAGTGTCCTGCCCAGGCCCTGGATCTGGGGTTTCGGACATGTTTGCCCTTGCTCCTTCTCCCCTGAACAACCTCCATCCCTCCCAGGGACCCGCAGGGGCAGCAGGCTGGGGGACTCTTCCAGTTGGGGGTCTCACCCACCCCCACCTTCCTCACCTGTAGATGAGCCGCCGCCTCACGCTCCTCTTGAAGAAGCCACTGCAGCCATTGCAGGCGTAGATGCCGTAGTGCTTCCCGCTGCTGCTGTCTCCACATACGCGGCATTGCAGGGAGGGGCCCAAGCCTAAGGGGCAGGGGCTGAGTGGAGGCTGGCCGGGCAGGGCCGCGTGCCCCTCCCACCTCCTCAGGGACCCCGTCCACCCCTCATTCCCTTTCCCCTGTCCTCAGGTTCCTGGCCAGCCGCATTTAAACAACCCATGCCTTTCTCATCTGGAAAAGTGTCTCCCTTCTGCATCTCCCAACACCCCACCCAGCTTCTGCCCCCTCGCCTCCCTCTATGGTCAATTTTCAACAAGACTAGACTCTGCTTTCACTTCCCCACCTCTCATTTCCCCCTCTGCAGGTGGCTTCAGGCTCCATCTTCCCACAAAAACATTCTTGGCAACACCACTAGGGACCTCTGCTGCCAAACCCTAAGGGTGCTTCTCTCTTCTTTCCTTCCCCGTCAGCTCAGCTGTCCTGACCCCCATGTTTCTAGGATTCTGGGTTTGCCAGAAGGTTCCCTCACACTTGCCCCCAGCCCTTGGGGCTGGGCCTGAGTTGCTCTGACTTCTTTCATGGTCCCTGCAAACCCCCAGCTCACAGTCTACTCCCCAAGGGCCCAGACCTTATCTCCAGGAAAGCCATACCTGTCGGCTCCTCCCCCACGCCCCATCTGCCTGGAGACTCCTTCCTGGAGGCAGCCACAGCCACTGGCACAGCTGCAGCCATGTTGGAGCTCATCCGTGCTGTTGGCCTAGTGCTGGCCTGTCCCGGGGCAGCCTTCGCCTTCCTGCCTGAGGGAGGCCTCCGGATCACTGAGCCAGGCCCAGCCTCTGCCTCCCTCTCTCTCTGTCTCTCTGTGCCCGTCTCTCTTCTGTCTCCGCTTCTTCCGCTCCCTGGCCCTGGCAGTCTCCCTCTGTCTTTGTCTCTTTCCTCCGTCTTTCCTCTCTGTCCTCCTGCCTCTGGTCCTCTCTGTCAGAACTCAGGGACTGCCCCAACTTCCCCTCACAGCAGCAGCTCTGGCTGGAGGAGATTTCTCCCAGGGCAGCGCTGAATACAGCTTATGATCCTCTTAATCTTTACTGTCTCCACAGGGGATCAACCAGCCACACCTGCAACATTACCAAGGTGCCCCCAGGAGCCGGTCAGTCCTGCTGCCTGCCAACCAGTCTCTGGCTGCTCAGTGAATGTCCCCAGGTCCCTTCTGCCGTGTGGTCTCAAGCTGTTTGCCGCTTAAGGCCAAATCTTGAAGGGAGGTATGGACTCCACTTTCCCCAGGACTTTAATCTTTCCAAGCTCCTAGGCATGCATCTGGGGACAAATGTGTGTGACTGAGGTGTGTGTGCATCTGTGTGTGGCTCTGCGCATGTGGTGCTCACTGAGGGTCCTGGGTAGGTAGGTCCAGCTCTCTGCCCCAGTGGTTCTTGCCCAATGCCTTGATAACGGACTACTTAGGGCCCAGAATTTGAGGGTTCTTGCTCCCTGGAAGGCTCGCAGTTCCCAGATGCCCAGCACAGAGGCAGCTCCCATCACATGTAGGAATGGGTCCAATGCAGGGTCTGAGGCTGGCCTGGAGGTGGTGAGGCCTGGGGCCCAATGTGAAGGGTCTCCTCCAGGCCTGTGAGGTGGCAGAAGAGGAGCTGGCAGGTGTTTTTCACCTACCTGGGGAGCTGGGCCTGTAGGGCGGGAGGGTTTGAGGACACAGCCCTGGAGTCTGGCTATGGGATCTCAGGCAGCCTCCCTCCTTTGCCTGACTTGACCTCACAGTCCTAGGCAGGACGGTCCCTCAGCAGTCCCCAGACTCAGTCTTCCCAGTGATGGTTCTGAAGGGAGGAGGCGGAAGGAAGAGTCTGTGCCTCCTTGGACCAAGACCCCGGCCCCAGAGGGAGGGTGGGGAGAGGCGAGACAGACCCAAGTTCAAACCCTTGCTCCCTCACAGGCCAGCCATGCATCCCTGAGCAAGTGATTTTACCTGTCTGAGCTCAGTTTCTTCGTCTGTAAAAGGGATGACCAAAGTCCCTGTCTTGTAGTGTAGTCAGGAAACTCAGTAAGATGATCACAAAGTCTGTTAGTGACTGGTACTCAGAGCAGAATAAACAATGGGCTGCTAGTCTTATTCCTTCCCAGGGTTACTGAGAAGATCACAGAGCAATCTGCAGTAGCCTCTCCTTTCCCTGCTCCTCTGCCCCCACAACCACTCCCACCCCGGGTGCACGATGAAGCAGAGAGCCCATGTTGGTCTGGAGGGGACCACCCATCCTCAGCAGACCTGGGTTCACCTCTGGAGTGAGCCTGGGGCAGGGCTTTGCTCTACCTTAGAGCCCAAGGGTGAGAGCGGACAGGGTGAAGCTTCTGGGAGGATCGTGGAGTTAAGGGGAGAGAGCCGGTAGGGCAGGGCCCTTATCTAAGCGGGGTTAACCCTCACTGTGACAGAGAAGCACTATTGAGGATTTGGAAAGTCAGCTTGAGGGGCTTTGCAGGCTAATCTGCTTTCTGGGGCCTCAGAAGATCGAGGCCACTGGGCTAAGACCCCTTACCCGACCTCGTCTGCCTCTGTCCTCACCCTCCGGAGAGGCAGCCCCTCAGGACCCTCCACTGCAGGGTCTCCAGCTCCTCCTAACCGTGGAATTTGATTGACTGGTCCCTCCTTCCCAAAGCTCGTCTCTCCCGCTTCTCCTGGAACTGTCTTGACCATCTTCCACCCCTCTCTTAACTTGTCATCCCTCAGGGTGCCCCGGAGGTCACCCCAGCAGACCCTCTCCTTGGACAGTCTTGCACACATTCACAGCTTCGGTGACCACTTCACACCAGGCTCCTGCCTGGGTCTCTGCCCCGAGCTTCCACCCATAGGTCCACCTGGAGTTCTGGTGTAGGGACCAACTCCACACACCCCGAACAACCCATCCCCAACTGGTCTGCACAGGATGGTCACTGAAGCCTAGGACTGAAGGATGGCCTGGAGCACGTGTGTGGGGAGGAAAGTCCCTAAAGCTGAGTTGAGAGCCTCTAATCCTGGAGGCCTGGGCCAAGGAAGAGCAGCTGGCAAAGGAGCTGAGAGGGACAGCTAGGATAGCGCGTGCCACGGGAGGGAGGGAAGGGCGGGATACAAGGAGGGAGGCATCAGCCAGGTCAAGTGTCTTATGAGGTCATTTGTAGCACCAAAAAGAGGAATGAGAAAGCAAACAAGAAGAGTGCTTACACCAATACTTTCAATATCATATCTGCACCTCACACTAACCCAGAGAGGAGCGGTCATTATTAGCCTTAACTCACAGATGAGGAAACTGAGTCTCAGAGAGGTTAAGCAATTTGCTTCAGGCCACAGAGCTACGGCATGGTGGGAGGAGGCTGGAAATGGAGACGGGGGTTTCAAACTTACATTTGATCCCCAAACTCCTGTTTCCCACCGTGGTGTTCTGCAAGAAGACTCGAGCAATCTCCTGGGCTTTAGCAGCAGGAGGCAGCTGGTGCCTTTGGCGAGAGTTGTTCCAAAGGAGAAGGGGAGCCAGCGGCCACGGCTAGGAGGGAGGCACGGGAAGCAGAGCGCTTGGCTGAGAAACGAAGGAGACAGCGCTAAGGGGTTTATAAAAAGGGTAACACTAAGGAAAGATTTTTTTCTTTTTTCTGTCAAGGTAGATACTTAAAGAAAAACACTTAAGAAACTTTCTTTTAAAATGGTAGATACAGAGGAGACAGAGCCAGGGGAGAGGGGGTAAAGTTGGAGGTGGTGTGTAAATTGAATATCTGATACTGAGCAAGCCAGAGGGGGTGGCAGAGCACAAGGAGAGGGACGGATTGGCCTGGAGAGGGGTCACCCTGAGGGAACGAGAGAACCTCGGGCTTAAGGGGCGGGCTCTGGGCAGGGCAATCCTCTTACATCCTGGTTTGATGTCTTCCTGGCTGTGTGAGCTTGGGCAAATTATTCCACCTCTCTGTGTTTCCATTTCATCATCTCTAAAATGGTAGACTAGTGCCCCCTCGGGGGCTGTGGTAGGGTTACAGGAGATGATACTAAAAGGGTTAGTGCAGTCCAAGATGAGAGGAGGAGGTCGGTGGAAGGGGGCCAGGAGTGAGAGGGCAGAGGTTGGGGGTGACTGCCTTGGAGAGGGTAGGGTCTGAAGCAGCCTTTGTGGGGAAGGGACTTCGGGGGGAAGCTCTGAGGTGCACTGAGGTTAAAGACAGTGACTTGACAGGAGGACAGTCTGGGCAGAGAGAGGATTTTCCCTGAAGCCCTTAGCAGGGCTGCGAACCCTGGGCGAAGTAGACACCAGGACTGCTCCCAGCAAGTGCACGGGAAGGACCTCAGAGAAGGAGATGAAGACACCGAGGAAGGAACCCTCAAGGTAAGAGCGAAGCAGGGAAGCGGACAAAGAGGGGACTCATTTGCCCCGGCTGCTTTTTCTCTGCTGTTCTCCATCTGAGCTGCCTGCCGCTCCTGCTCTATCTACCCAATCCTTCCCGTCTTTCCAGGCCTGTTCAAGGCTCACCTCCTCCAGGCTGTCTGCCTTGACTCCTCAGTCTACCTGCTGTCCTTCTAGAGGCACCTCCAGGGCCAGATCTTGTCCTTAATCTTGGACCTCATTCCAGGTCAACTTTCTCTCCTCAGTCAATGGAGGGCTCTGGGGACCAGGTTCAGAGTTTCAGGTCAGCTGGGCGTGTGGGTCACAAGGCACTTAATAGACAGACGTTCATTTTCAACTTGTCCTTATTGCCCTGATAGTCTATGGTGGGTCTGTATTACTTAGGATGGCAAAAAATAAATCCATTGGAATAAAAGACACCAGCAGTGTTTAACCTGCCTGTTCTTACGCTGTTTGTTTTGACTTGGTTATGTCGACTCCTCATATCATTTTGATCCCAGCCAAGCTCCTCTCTTACCAGGGCCCTCGGTTCTTTGGCAGGTCAGGCCCAGCCAGAGCCGTGACTGTGCTGGGGGAAAGGATGACAGCCCAGCAGGGCTGGGGGCAGGGGGTCTCGCCCGATCTGTGACCAGCTGCTGGGGCAGACGCCAAAGGATTACTCAGCCCAAAGCCTTGAATCTGCTGACGAAGCCAGAGGCCACCTTATCACTAATACAATTATTCCCCCAGGGGACAGGTCAGCAACTTCCTTCTGACTCTCTGGAGGTCTGGGGCGGGGTAGAGGGAGCCAGGGGATGGGGTGGGCGGGGATGAGGGTGCATGATAAAGGCTGCAGAACTGACTTCCCTGTGGACCCTAAGACCCTGGCAGGTAAAGCCCGCTGCCCCAGCCTGTCTAGGGCCTGTCATACCCTGTGTCACTAGGTCCCAGGCCTGAGAGATGACCTGGGTTCTCCCATAGGGAGGAGGGAGTGGCTCCTGGGATGACCCAGCTGCCAGTCAGGTTGGCTGGGCTGGATGGCCATGGCTCCCATTCCAGCAGCCACAGGCTTCCAGTTTTGGGCAAGCCTCGTTCACAGCATTTAGTCCCGGGAACATGTCTTCTGGGATTTCTTAAAAATTCTCTCTTTTTCCCCCACCCAAGGGTCTTCACTGTCTCTGAGCAAGCACAGCTAATGGTGAGCATGTGGGCTCTGGAGCTCAGGACCCAACAATTCCACTTCCGGGAAACTATCCCATGGAAAATTTCACGAAGATTTCATAATATGACTGTTCCCTGCAGCAATTTTAGTAAACCACCCATCTGTAGACAACTGGCTAAAAAAAGCATCCACCCCTACAGTGGAACACTATGCAGCTGCTGCAAATGGTGGTGTTCCCGAATTCATTTACATGGAGACGTGCCCACA